AGGGAAAGGTACGTACATGATACACCCCCGCATATATTTCACCTAAACCCCTCCAATTTTCCCATATTCCAATTCCACACCCATCATTTTCTGCTTCTCTTTCTACAGGGCTCTCATAGAGAAGATCATCACATTAGGGTTTTAGTACAGGGAGCTTGACCGCTTATCCGTCCGGTGTCGGAATTTAAGCTGGATTGCAAAACGCGAGTCCTGCGGCCTCCGAAAACGAAAAGCCGAGCGTTTATCGGAGGGCCATTGCCAATGGCATTGTGGAGATACTGTCTGTATATCGGTCCTCGGTGCTCCACATTGAGGAGATACTGTTGGCGGACTCCGTCCCGATTTTGGCCACAGTAACTCAAGGCCTCAATTTTTGAATTTGTATGGTGCTGCATTGTTAGTTGATGATAATTATTGTTTGAGTTTTCTTATGATCAATTGGGTTTTTGCTAGTTTTTTGTGCTTTTGCCGCCGCTGTATGAGCTAGTTCTGGAGATTGAGCGCGATGACATTCGAGGTGGTCAGCTTCTTAACCTTTTACAAAAAAGATGCCATTGTGGGGTTCCTGAGTTGCAAACGTGCCTTCAAAGGTATTAGCCTCATTGAGAATAACTGTCAGTAACTGTTTGTTATGTTTTAGTGGCGGAATGGATTGTTAGCTGATTAGTTTCGGATGCGTTTATTTCTGTGTGTTGGTAGCATAGGCTTCTTTGGCATGCAGATCAGGTCATGTATTACCAGCTTGCGGCGTGGGTGGTTTATGGCATTCTTCAAGACCAGCATGGAGAGTTTTTCATTAGGAGGTAGAGACTGGAGATACTCCTTTACTAGCTTTGTCCCTTTTTGTGGGACTTCCACACCTTGTCTTTCCTATTTTGTTACATTTTTTTAGTAACACGCAACTTGAAACAGTTCATCGGTTGTATCACGTTTCAGGCAGGAAGATAAGGATGTAGGGCAGGGCTCATCTCATCCGGACATATCTGAAAAGTTGGCACGGATGTCAAATGGTGATACATCTTTAACAGATTGGCACTTGGGATTTCAAATTTATTTGGTATGGCTGACCTGGTTTACTGCATATATACAATATGTATGCAGGGAAGAACTGATGTTTTATTCCTCTTCCCCCTTTAGCAAGGACTTCAATTTTTGTTAGTACTGCCTCAAAAAGAAACAGAGGTCGCACTTGGTGCAATGGCAAGTGCCTTCGCCCATGAGCGGTAGGTCTCGGGTTCGAGACTTGGGAGCAGCCTTTTCATAAATGGAGGTAAGGCTAGCCGACATTCACCTCTCCCAGACCCTGCGTAAAGCGGGAGCCTTGTGCACTGGGTACAACTGCCTCAAAAAGAAACGAAGTTTGGAACTTTGATACTTAACGTTGCATTTTCTTACCTTTTCTTTTTGTAGGATATGCTGCCCGAGTATACCCATATGCGTGTTGCAGAATCAATTTTATTTTCTGGAAAGGCTATCAGGGTTCTTCGCAATCCGAGTCATGCCTTTCGGCTCCAGGACATTGTATATCCTCAACAGGTGCCTAGAGGCTCTCAGAAAGTTAAAGTATTTTCAGGAAAATCTCCTTTCCTCAAAGACCCTTTTGAGAGGTGCTTCCACAGTATGAGGCTGATAAGATTGAAACTATGCTTCTGGAACTAAAGGTTTTCTTTTAACACTATTATCACTTTGTATTCTTGCTAACTCTGTCATGTCACTGCTTATGTGAAAGATGGTGTATAAGATGTATCTCGACAATATATTTGTGTCCTTACGTAAGCGATATCTCTTACTACAAACTTCAATTATGGGTAAATTTATAGGAAAACTAATGAAAATGGCTTGAAAACTTTGAGTTTTAATGATAAGGACAAAATAAATAGTAAAGTGAATAGTACCAGGATTGACTTTTTAGTGTAAAAATGTGGTTTTTCGTTAAAGTAAACAGTACCGGGTGCTTTTCATTAAAGTTCCCTAAATTTATTTGTTCATTATGTGCAGGAGTCATCTGAGTTTCACAAAAGATCTTTTGAATGTGCTGTCGATTCAATTAGGGCTATTGCTGCCAGTCATCTTTGGCAGGTGCTGAATGTGAACAATTTGGTCCCACCATGTTCTATAACAAAAAATTTAATGTGTTCCTTCAATTTCTGCAGCTTCTCGTTGTACATGCTGACTTAAATGACCATCTGAAGGCACTGAAAGACTATTTTCTTTTAGCAAAAGGAGATTTCTTTCAGGTAAAGATGGAATATATCTAAAGACTGCTGACTTCTATGATTTAAGTACAGACAGTCCAAATTTTGTTTTGGCGGGGGTGATGGTGTATTCCTTCCCTGAACGTATAAATGAAACTGGAAATTGCTATTTCTCTTAATTCTTATGAACACCTGTAGTGTTTCCTAATTAGACATGATTTATTATGGTAGTGCTTTCTTGAAGAGAGTCGCCAGTTGATGCGCCTACCTTCTCGCCAGTCAACTGCAGAGGCTGACCTTATGGTCCCATTTCAGCTGGTAAGATTATTTTGAAATTGTGAGGTATTAATTGCGTTGGCATGGCTCATTTTTCAAATGAATTCTAGTGGTTTGCATCAACTTATTTTGCTATACTTCCAATGCAGGCTGCAATTAAGACTATAGGTGAGGAAGACAAGTATTTCTCAAGAGTATCCTGAAGGTTAGAGTCTGTATTTGATTGTTCCTAACTTCCTAGTGTCTGAATCATATAAATTTCGACCATATAGCCATTTTCTTACCAGTCATTTCACTATGAGGTTTCATAAAAAGAGTTTATTCAGTTATCTGTCTGTATCTGCTAGGATGCCTTCATTTGGAATGACAGTAAAATCCTCCCAAGGAGATTTACAAAAGGCAGACGGGAAATCAGGCCCAAGTGCTTCCTCAGAAATATCTCTTGACAGTTGGGATGGAATTGCTCTTAAATACTCTGTTGACTGGCCCTTACAGTTGTTCTTTACTCCAGAGGTGCTCTCTAAGTAAGACTCTACTGCTACTGCTACTTGTGGATGCCATTATTTCTTTCATATTTCCTTTAGTTTCAATAAAGTTGGGAAACAGTCCTTAAAATTTTGTAATGGCTTTCTATTCGCTGAAATATTTGATTATTATCTGAACTATTGAACTTCTTATATGCACATGCATGCTAACAGAAAGTGTACACCAGGTACTGCAGGGTCTTCCAGTATCTACTGCAGCTCAAGCGTACACAAATGGAACTGGAGAAATCGTGGGCCTTTGTGATGCAACAAGATCACACAGATTTTGCCAAGCATCGGAATGATCATAAAGTGTTCAGTATTTCAGCAGCGAAGGCAGAGATCTAGACCAATGTGGCGTATTAGAGAGCATATGGCTTTCTTGATTAGAAATCTTCAATTTTATATACAGGTTATGGTTTATTTCATTAACTTTCACTTCCGGATACTCATAATTGTCAGAGTTTCATTGTGCATAAACTATGCAGAAGAAAGGCGCTCTGTACTTTCTTCACTCTTATTATTCTTATCATACATGTAACTGATGGAGAAAACCAAGCAGTATAGAACAGAATCGGTGCATAACCTAAAGTATTGTCTATTTCAGGCGGATGTGATAGAATCCCAATGGAATGTTTTGCAAGCTCATATCCAAGATTCTCATGACTTTACTGGACTTGTGGCAGTCCATCAGGAGTAAGTCGAATAAATGATTTCTTCTTTCTCTGTTTGATTTCCCAAGTCCATGATTTATATTACAGTATAATGCTCATGGAATTCTGAACCTTCCTACAGATATTTATCAGCTTTAATTTCACAATCTTTCTTAGACATTGGCTCTTTATCGAGGATCCTGGACAGTATAATGAAACTTTGCCTTTAGTTCTGCTGGAACATCGAGAACCAAGAAAGCAGTGCAAATACATCTGAATTGGAAATTTGGAACACATTATCGAGGTTTGCGGAAATATTCTCTTGAAATATTGTGAAGAATAATTTCCACATATTGCTGCAACTATCCTGGGAATTGACTAATCCCTGCATAATTTGATAGTTGGGTTACAAGTTACGCTTTCACTAGACTTCATTGTGTATTAAGTACATGGCATTGTGATTATTACTTGTTGACTTCATATTCAAATTGTTTTCTTTTACATTGTTCAGGAATTTAACAAGAAATCAAACTCCCTATACACGATATTGCGCAGTAGTAGGCTTGTTGGGAGCCAGCGAGCCCCATTTCTGAGGCGGTTTCTGATGCGTCTCAACTTCAACTCCTTCTTTGAGGTAATCAATCCCATATAACAACGCTCATCACAGATTCTTCAATTTTTGTACCACAGTTTCCAAACCATTCTCGTTATTCCTCTTTCTAACAGGCAACAGCGAGAGGCATGCTGAATGTTGTCAGACCACGGCCTACACTTTCTGTTTTGAACCAACGGTAGCATCTTTTCCACTCAGCTGCTTCAAAGGTGCCTCCCTGCTAGTTTCTGCAGTATGCCATGTGTGCACTGGAAGATTCATCTTTTCCTCTTAAGTTCAAGAGAGATTTTCACGCGGCAGCTTTCTGAGGTCGGACCATGCTCGTTGACTTGTGAGTGAGAGACCCATGAACGTTAGTTAACGATTCTGGTAAGGTCCGAGGGTCGGTTTCTTTGTGTCATTGTGTGTTCCAACTTCTCGACCCAAATGGCAAATGGCAATTAGGTTGGTAATTTTGATTGGTGGCTTGGAAACCATGGCTCTTAGCAGCTTGCAGTTAAGATTGAGAGTCCAAAGTCGAGTTTTGGTTGCATGCAGTTTTTTCAGTTTTCAGTTGTGTACTTCAGAATCGTTGTAGATAAATGTGTGAACAACTTGTAGGATAATGAATTTATCTTGTTGTGAACAAGTTTGTAACCGGTTCAGTTTGTGTATATTCCCCGAATTTCTTTTGTAGACGGAATTAAGGAATCAACTCCAGCTTCCGTTGAGTACGTTATGTGTAAGACTTCGTTGTACGTGTGTAACGAATAAAACAAGTTTATTAACATAAAAAAATTATACAAGGCAAGGGAAAGATCAACCAAAATTTGAGTACAAATTAGTTACAATGTGGCGTGGTTAAAAGCAAGACCATAAAATAAGAAGCAAAATCTGTCATCTCAGGCCTGTAGCCTAAATACCTAGTTGTATTAGAGCTCTTCGAAACCTTCCTCGTCCCCTTCTTCCTCGGCTCTCAGGAATTCCTTCCTCCCAAGTTTCATCTGTCAACACTAAAAGTTCAGCGTCTGACAGACAAAATGGTACAGATTCTAATTAGTAACTTTTGAGGAAATGCAGGGAAAAAACATACAAAGTCCGAATATGAAGGGATGACAAATTGAGTATATTCTTATGAAGGGTGGACATGTTACCTGATCATCAGAAAACCGCAGTTGGTCTGCAGAAAATAGTATATTCTTATACCTTCCCGGTGCTAATTCCTTGCCTAAACTCCTTGCAACTTCATCAAAACAAATCATGTCCACCCGAAAGCCATTGTTCATGAATAGTTTCTCCAACCATGTCCTTGCACTAGTCTGTCAATGAGAAAAGGAAACAGGTGATGTCTTTCTTTATTGACAGAGAAGCAATTGCGATATTGAGTCGCACTTGATATAAGCAAACTGACCTTGGTCCCTATTTCAGTTTCTGCCAACCAAGCAGGTAATTCTCCCAAGAAAAAACATCCCTTCATTGCCAAACCACTTACAGTGAGCAAAATATCTTCAAAACTTGCTAATGTCATCAAAGGCAACCCCTGCAATAACACAGCAACATGATTTTCCTACTTACTAAAACACTAACCATTATAGCTACACACGAGAATATAACTAACGAATGATTAGCGGATAGATACCTGCATGGCCCAAATGCTAGGTTGATTGCCGTTAAACCCTTTAGCACGCAGACTTTTCTGTATGTCGGAGGATTCCAAAGGAACGTGAAGGGATAAGCAGCTTCTAGGAATCTTAGCCCCAACACCTGAGGGATTAAGGATAGCATGATAAGAACTTTCTGCATTGCCTACTTAATAAAAACAAGCTGATAATGCATAATAAAAAAAAAATCCCGAAAGATTGAACTTTCTGAGGATTTAGAATGACACAAAATCTGTATTAACAAAATAATCGATTCCCATGATATGAGAGTAAATTTTCAAGATGTGCAAAAACAAAAGAACTTGGGATAATGTCACAACAAAAATTCCCTACTTCAACTAGGTTGCAAATCTTTAACTACTCTTAATAACGAATAGTTCATATTGTAAGTTTACAATCACCTTGAAGCTTCTCAGCTGCTCTTTTGAACACCCGTTCCGGAGAAACATTGAATATAATGGTTGAACTTGGCCAACTAAGCCTATATGGACGGGTATCCATTCCATCGGTTAGCAAAACAACCTGCACTCCCAAGAAGAATACATTGAAACAAAGGAGTGATAAAGAACAAGTCCATTAAGTTTAACCTATCTCCCTATCAACAAAAAAAAGACACTCAAGGAGCCCTTCCTCCTTTCTACAAGATGCATTTCGACACATGCGCAGAAATAACTCATCAAAAACACAAACGTCGAATTGTGTGATTGGAAGGCATTGTCAGGTAGCAATTGCTACTTCAAGAAAAGGCTTAACTACCTTCTTTAATCCATCGATATGGTTTAGATGCATTTCGACACATATGCAGAAATAACTCATCAAAAAAACAAACGTCGAATTGTGATTGGCAGGCATTGTCAGGTAGGAATTGTTACTTCAAGAAAAAGACTAACTACCTGCTTTAATCCATCGATATGGTTTACCGTTCGAAGCAACTTATCGTCGATGAATTTAGTAGCAACGCAATAATGATGTGAGCATTGCATCATGTCCATCTGAGCATTAGGAGGAACAAAGCAACCAGCATACGGATCAACAAACAGAGGCTCTGCACACGAAATTATTAATCAAAAACTTATAAATTTGACAAATTTAAATAAAAATTTCATCTTTCGAAATTCTGCGCGTCACTGAAACTCCACAACACGAATCATCCAACTGTCTGACGAAATGACCCAATGAAAAAACAAAATGGCAAATACGAAATTCCTTAGGATATATGGGTTTACTTGGTCGATGGGTCTCCCGGAAACGAAGAGAAGCCGAATCAATGGCAGATTGAAGTAATGGGTCGTTTTCTTCGACGATTTTGGCTCGCAACTTCAACCCGCCATTTCTATCCCTTCTTGAAGTGGTGTAGAGGACCGGTCGGCGCAAGATAGCAGTAGCCGGGGCATGTGCAACGCCCGCTAAACAGTCCATACAATTCAGATTAGTCTTCTGCTGCAACGCCCTACAAAGTACGAAAGAATGGGAGCGATCATCGAACGAACGATGAGCTCAGTATCAAGTGGCAGTCGTAATCAGCCCCTTGGTCTGCGCATGGAGCGCGATGCGCGCCAACGACCAGGCCTTCAGTCAGCAAACCCCAAAACGACACAGCGTTTAACTGCCGTAAACAATTTTTGGGATAATTAGGGCGTGTTTGTTTAACCTTCTTAGGTGTCATTGGACTAGACTACATTAAGAGCCCGTTTGTTTGACCGGATTAAGAAGGATTGGACTGGACTAGACTATAGTCCCTTAGGGTGCGTTTGTTGCGCCGGGACTGTCTCGGACTGGACTAGCTGCCGGGACTAAGCTGGACTGGCTTAGACTGGACTAAGCTGGACTAACTTAGTGAAGCGTTTGGTGCAGTCTCGGACTAAGAAGCAGGATAAGAAAAACAGTACTGTTCACCAGATTTGTGTTTGCTTAGACTAGGACTACAAATTTTGTCATTGTGTAATAGAGTAATGCTACAAATCTCATGATATGGGTTAATTGGAGCATATTTTTGCCATGTATATTATGAATCTTAAAAAAAATTGACAATTGTTTTGTTTCTATTACCTGCTAATAGAATTGGGTTTAATTTGCAAATGTAGCTTGATTTAAACTCTATCACCCAACAGAAGAAAAATAATAGTGGCCAATACATGCAACTTCAACAAAATACAAGTACATAAGATCTCCATAATTTAGAAAATCCTAGTTAACATTAGTTAACATTAGCCAAAATAGATCTCCATAATTTACAAAATGACTAGTAAACATAAGCCAAAATACTAGTGCAAAGCTAAGTTTATAAGTCATAACATAAGACTGTATGATTAATAAAATACATCCATGTTAACGTTAATAAAATACATCCATGTTAACATTAGCCAAAATCCTCATCCGCTTGCGTTGTCTCTTAAAAGTCTTTGGACGAACACTTTCTTGAGTTCCGGTTTGATTGCCCTGAACACTCTCCACATTTTTTTGGTTTATCCAAAATAAGAGACAATGCATCAATTTGATCCATAGGAGAGAGACCCATTGCTTCAAGTTCATTAGCTATGTCAGTATGATCTGCAGTACCTTGAACTAAAGCTTCAGTTACCATTTGCATCCTCTTCCCACTTTCAACATAAAAAATCTTTCAGTCCACTGATAATTGCCTCGGTTCCATCACTTGAACTTCCCACAGCTCTTTTTCCTCTTTCTTTGGCTATTTTCAGATGGGGTGCTTTGTTGGCTTTGCTTTGTTGGTTCATTGAAGAAACAAAATTATCACCTCCAATATCACTTTCACCAACATGATCATGACTTTGTTCCTCCACCATTTGAGCAGGGGTTTCGGCTACATTACCCGTAGCCCGATCTTTTCCAAATATATATGCAAATCTATCAAACAGTGGAAAATGTTTGCTTCTCCATCCATCGGCTTCTTTATTTCTCTAAGATTATATCAACATAGCAAAACTAAAATTTAGCATGCGTAACAAATATAGGAGGAGCAAGAATATAACTAATGCATAAATAAAATAGGATATGAACCTGCACATAAGTTTGCCATGCGTCATCACTGTCAACTTCAACGCACTTTTTGACATCATTCCATGCAAATCCCACTTGTGTTTATCATGTCAACGACCATACTATATGTTTTTTTTCCATTTCTTCAACTTGGACTCAATATGTGGATTTGCCTTTATATTTGAATGAGGACATAAAACATTGACAGCTTTTGCTATTTCAACCAAAGTACCTTGTTTGAAAGCACCGGTGTCACACCGTTGCTTCCGAGCAACAAAATCCTCAAGAACTCCTAGTAATACTTCTTCCTCAAATGCTTCCCATTTACGCCTTCTTCCTTTTGGCTCTTGAGTAGCATTCAAAATATTTTCGTTATCCATACCTAAACAAAAAATATTTTAATGAAGGAAAAATACCATACAAATAATCAATTTGCATAATATCCAATCAACTTGCATAATATCCAATCAACTTGCATAATATCCAATTAATTTGCATACCATCCAATCATTGTGCTAATATCTAACAAATGCATGATAAAAAAGGAATACTAAAATAAAATGTTATCATTAAAACATATAGCTAGTTCGGTTGCTGGTTCCTAATTGCTCTCCACTCATTATACATTTCCTCAGCCATATCATTCCTCATTGCAGTCCACTGGTCCGATGATTGAACACTACCAACATATTCACCTTCTTCTGTATTTTGTCCATCTTCTATTATTGGCAAATTCTCCATTGGATCTACTAACATCTCTTGCCTAATAAGATTGTGTAGTAGGCAACAAGCGGTAATTATTCGACCTTGTGTCCTTATCGGATAGAAAGATGGACTCCTTAGTATCGACCACCTTCCTTTTAGCAAGCCAAAACAGCGTTCAATTACATTCCTTGCCTTAGAATGCTTCATGTTAAAATATTCTTCCTTATTAGAAGGGTGTTCGTCCCTCCCATTCAGATAAATGATAAGGTATTCCTCTATAGGGTGCAAGGAATCCTTCACCATTTGTATAACCACCACCATCTACAAGGTAATAACAACCTAATGAAAAAAAAAAAAACAGACCTTATTAGTGTTTTGTAGTTGACAAAAACAGAACTAAACCTAACTTAGAAAGTTGAGACTAAGTAATAATCTTACCCGCTGGTACCTTTAAAACCATTAGGCCTACTAATTGCATCATGTAGCACTCTAGAGTCTGATGCGGAACCCTCCCACCCCGGAAACACATATATGAACTGCATATCTCCTGAACACACACCTAACACATTAGTTGCGACTCGACCCTTTCTTGTTCGGTATCTTGGTTTGTCAATTTCAGGTACATGCACATCAATGTGTGTTCCATCCAATGCTCCCAAGCAATTCTTAAAAATAAAAAATAAAAAACTTTTTGTTAATTTATACAAAGGGAATGAAGAGTTAAAGCTTAAGGAAAATGAAAAATATTTCTCATCATACCTTAAAACATCGCCACCTAGCATCTGTAGAATCAATAGGCACAGGCTGTGGGACTTTTAGTAGGAAACCTTGTAATCGCAAAATTCCTTGCAATACGCTATTGAAATACCTTACTTATAGTCTCTCCCGACCTATAAAATCTACCGCCAACACTACGATTCTTAGTATGATGTGCTAATATTTGTAAAGTCATACACACCTGTTCCTCTACAGACACCAAACCATCAGTTTTTACCCTCCCATCTTGACGAAGTAAGTCGCATAATATGCCAAAAGTCCTTCTATCCATTCTCAATTTAACACAGTTCAGTATCAGTATTCCCTATTATACCATTTCAGATAACACAAACTAATCTCTCGTCTAATAAGTGAACGGTTAGTCAATGTGGGTCGTTCAACATGTCTCTGTTTGCCACGTAGCATCATCACCACACAGAATCGTACAAATACAAATGTGTTTCCAAATAAGACATCTCTAACAATAAGATCAATAAAAGCTTCCTTCAACGTCCATAAAAATCTAAAAACAAAAAAAAAAAAAAACAAATTAACTAAATCATTAACCCGAGGCACAAATATACATATGGCGTTGAAAAAAAAAAGTTTTCATTAACCCGAGGCATCAATCTAAAAAAATGTTCTACTCTTATTACATCTATAAACATGTGTCTAAGAACACTAGTATGAGGATTGCTATCATTGCTGTAGGCATTGCATGTGAAAAGGGAAATTAAAGGACACCTGTAATGCAGTAGCCTTAGCCTTAGCCTTCCGTTTATGCTCCTCTTCTCTGCACCAACAACCACAAAAATGCATTCAGCATCAAACCCCATAATACAAAACATTCACATTGTATTACACAACCCTACATACACACTGCACACACAGTACAACATCAACACACCACACACACTGCATACACTACACACAACAGTACACACACAGACACACTACATATATAACTGCACATAAAACACACAAGCATACCACACACCACTGCATATATAACACATACATTACACATATACACAACAACATGCAAAACACACATACACTGCAACTATACACACACTGTACATACATACACACAACATACACCCTGCACAACACACACACTGCATACACATACACACAGTGCACACACCACACACACATACATACACACAACTAACATCACACACGCACTACACTACAGACACACCCTGCACCACTACACACAACACACAAAATACACACGCATACACTACACACTGACACAAACACACATACACACACACACACCACACAAACACACCACACACACACACACACTACATCACACACACTGCATATATACACACAACACTCACACTGGCAACACACTGCACACACCAAACACACACACAGCACTACACACACACACACACCACACACACACCACTGCACACACTGCACACACACACTGCACTGCAGACCATACAAGTTACCCATTAACACCACACACACACTACTCTATACATACACACACACACTAACACACACACACACACACACTTCACACATACACACACACACTGCACACACACACACACTCACACACTCACAACACACACACACACACCACTGCGCGCACACACACACACACTGCATCACTCATACCACACACAACACGTACACACACACACACACACACTGCACACACACACACACTGCACACACTGCATAGACACACACACACTGCATACACACTCACACACAAACTGCACACACACACACAAACTGCATACACACTCACACACACACTGCACACACACACACACTGCATACACACACACACACTCACACTCACACACTAAACACAGTCACACACACACACACACTACACACACACTACACACACTGCACATATACACTGCACACACACACACACAACAAATTGCACACACACACACTGCACACACACACTGCACACACACAAACTGCACACACACACACACACACACACACACTACTACACACACACACTGCACACACACTCACACTCACACACTGAACACAGTGACACACACACACAACGGGGACAGAGTGCAACAAACTCTTACCTCACACACACACTATGTTTTTTATACTCACACACACACACTGCATACATACTTACATACACACACACTGCACACACACACACACACTGCACACACACACACACGCACACCACACACACACACTGCATACATACTGCATACATACCACACACACACACTGCGCACACACACACACTGCGCACACTGCATAGACACAACACACTGCACACACTGCATACACACAACACCACACTCACACACACACACAAACTGCATACACACTCAACACACACTCACACACACACACACACAACACACACACACACACACCACTCACACTCACACACACTCACACTCACACTTACACTCACACTCACACACAAACACACACACACACACTGCACACTTACACTCACACTCACACTCACACTCACACTCACACTTACACACACACTGCATACATACTGCATACATACACACACACACTGCATACATACTACATACACACACACACACACAAACTGCACACACACACTGCATACACACTGAACACAGTCACACACACACACACACTGGACACACACAACACACACACACAAACTGCACACACACACTGCATACACACACAAATTGCACACACACACAAACTGCACACACACACACACACTGCATGCACACACACACACACACACAACACACACACACACTGCACACACACACACACACACTCACACACACACACACACACACACACACTCACACACACACACACACACACACACAAACTGCATACACACACACACACACAACACACCACACACACACACTGCACACACACACACTGCACACACACTCACACTCACACACACTCACACTCACACTTACACTCACACTCACACACAAACACACACACACACACAACACACTTACACTCACATCACACTCACACACACATTTTACACACACAACTCACACACACATTTTACACACACAACTCACACACATACACACAAAAACAGATTACACACACACACACGGACATATTACACACACATTTTTACACCACACAACTCACACACACACAGATATTACACAGGTTACACAGATTACATACACACACACACACACACAAAACACACTCACACACACACAAACACACAGACAAATTTTTTTTCAGTACACACAAAACACACACACAGAGCACACACCTGAGACTAATCTCAATTTCATCTTATGAAAACCCCAAATTCTAATCTCAATTTCACCTAAATAACAAAACCCTAATTTGTTCAATTGCAAATCCACTTGTATATTATGAATTTCTCAAACCCCAAAACAACAAAATCAAATAAACCTCAGTTAATATCACAAAAACAAATCCACACAAATCGACGAAAAAAAATCCAAGATTCGAAGCTTACCGACTAGAGGCAGATGACAGCGACCAGATGCAAGGACGACGATGAGCGTGAGGACGATGTGGGAGCACGGCAAGGACGACGACGAGGGCAGACGCAGAGATGAGGACGATGTGGGATGTGAGATGTGGGAAGACGCGGTTTCTCTGGCTTACGAGTCCGCCCGAATTTGGGATCCCTCGTGAAGAACGGCTAAGCCCCCCCTTAGTCCTAGCGAATCCCACCTAAGCTCATTAAAGCTAATCCCGGTACCCACCAAACACTGGACTATAGTCTAGTCCAGTCCAGTCCCAGCGAATCCTGTCAAACAAACGTGCCCTTAGTATACTCCATGATTATGTTTAATGACCTTAGGTCGGACTCGCTCGGATTATACACTTCCTTACGAGTTGTTAACGAGCATCCCCAATTTCAGGCGGACTCGTAAGCCCACCGCGAGAGAGTCACTCGTCCAAGAACCGCCCAACATCGCTCGTCCTGCTTGTCCTCATCGTCGTCCACGAAAAGACTTGGACTGGAGTGTGAGCTTGTAAAGACAAGGAAGAAGAAGATGACGTTGGGTCTGATCAATACCAACCACGTGGTCCACGCTAAGAATGAAAGGGTTGCTCACACCGAAGATCTCCACGCTGACGACGTCGTCGATCCTCTCGATATCTATGATATCCTTTCCCAATCCATCTCTTACCGCCTTTCTTTTCTTTCTTTTTAAAATTTAATTATGTGAAATTTTGCTGAAATTTGCCATCTTTGACTGGAAATTGCAAATTTCGTGAGGGATATTAGAGATCCGGAGCACCCCTACTCGTTAGAGCAGCTTAGCGTGCTTTCGGAAGAGTCGATTACAGTGGATGACAAGCTCGGCCATATTCTGTGAGTATCATTTCTCAATTTTGAGCTTCAATTTTGCATTTTTCTGGTAATTTGGATTCTGGGGTTTTAAAGAAATCATCAAAGTTTTGATCTTTATTAATTTTTTATTTTTTTATTTTTTAAATTTGATTGAAGGATAACTTTTAACTCCCCTATGTCTTACATGGCCGGTTCCAAGCCCGGATAAAGGAGGAAGGGGAGGGCGTCAGGTAGTCGACAGCCGGCACTCCATGATCACGTCGAATCCTTATGATTGAAGGATAACTTTTACGCCGACAATTCAGCATTGCAGTATGGCAACAGTGATAGGTATGTGCCTGAGAGTTAAACTGAAACATTGCTTCCTCCTTAGTACAAGGTCCGTCAGTTTGCTATGTTAGAGATTTTGGTGCAAAAATATGTTCCAATTAACCCAGATCATGAGATTTGTAGCATTACTATATTACACAATGGCAAAAAATTTAGGGCGTTGGGCACATGTATTGGAGCTATTAAAATAGAACAATAATGTAGTCCTAGTCTAAAGCAAACACAAATATGTTAAACAGTACTGTTTTCATTATCCTGCTTCTTAGTCCGACACTGCACCAAACGCTTCACTAAGTTAGTCCAGCTTAGTCTAGTCTAAGCCAGTCTAGTTTAGTCCCTGCAACTAATTCAGTCCGAGACAGTCCGTGCAACATACGCACTCTAAGTGTTTGTCCAATCCGGTTTTTGTTGTCCACATTGGACTAGTTTTAATGAGACTAATGGGGACTCACCCAGATTGAACGTTTCGCTAAACATTCTTATCAAGGCCCTTCGATTTTGAGTGGACTGCTAGTCCTGTTTTCTCACCCGCCGCTAATCCCTTGTCGTTTCCCTTTTCCTTCGCCCCTTCACCCTCTCCCTTCTCCTTCACACCTTCGCCCACTCCCTTAGGCCTTCATTATCCCACCCAAAAGCCTAAACCCATACCTCAAACAAAAACTGAAAAATAATCCATTGACTCCCTTCCTTTCGTCTTTGTTCAATCTTCTCTCTCTCTCTCAGCAAAATCGCCATGGTTGTGGCTTTCGAGCACCGGACACCAGCTGCACAATCCTCCACCGTAATCTCAGCCTACGACTCTTGAGCATTCACGGAGCAATCTTAACCCTTCCGAATTCACCACTGCCGAATCCTCATTCTCCTTCCCCGTCATCTCTAAACCAGTACAATCTTGCCAAGATCGCCGCCGTTGCAAAAAAATGGTGAGAGCTTCGCCTTTTTTAGCCTAGAGTTTTCAATTTCTCCACTTGAATTTGATTTTGTTGTGGTATGATTATGAATTCATGACCAATGAGAAAGAAATTCATTACCAAAGGAATGAAAATATAGCCATTTGTTGATTGTGAATTCATTTGATCAATAGGTATTGAAGAAGGGTGATTTGGAAAGTGCCTAGGAAGTGTTTGATGAAATGTCCAAGAGAACTGTGGCTAAGTTTGGCTGAGGCTTGCTAAGTGCGAATGAGGCTGAATTTTGAGTTAAATTATTGTGATTGTGATTGTGATTGTGACTGGGTTTGAATTTTTGTGTGGAGTCAATATTTTTAGGTTTCCAGGAATGTATGGTCAATCGATGTTGCTTGCATAATTGTTCTGTGTATTTTTATTTTTTCCAAAATTTGAAACTGACATATAAGTGTAATATGTTGTTTGAATTATGAATTTAGAATGTTGATGGTTGTGTTTACTTGTTAAGAAATTACTTGGAATACTCCTATTGTTAGAAAAGCTCAAAATAGGCATCCATAGGGAGCGTTGGATAAATATGTCATGATGAAAATTGTTGGAGTCAGGCATGATAAGGTTAAATTTGGTTGAAATTTTGATGTTGGTTGATATAGCATGGGTTTTTTTTTTCCTTTTTCTTTTCATTATCCAGCTTCTTAGTCCAATACTGCATCAAACGCTTCACTAAGTTAGTTGTAAAACCCATCCTCAAATTTAGTTTGTAATTTTACTTTTCCCTAAAAGTTTATATAATCTTTCAATTTGGTCCCTTATCCTAATCTAATCCGGACCTTCCATCTAGATTTACCTTCTCTCCCACGCTGCCACGCAGCAGCCTCCTAACTTACTTATCTCCTTCATTTCCCGAGTCTCTCTCAGATCTTTCACTCTCTTAGCTCACTTTTCTCTCTCACGCTTTCACTCTCTATTTCTCTAGGACCCTTTCCTCGATCTACACCTATCTTCACACCCACACCACCGACGACGCACCACCACCACCGTGGACTCTCTCTCTCTCGCTCTCCCTCATCTCTTTGGAGCTCAGTGAAGGCTATATACCCAGAAAACCTCTGGCAAACCTCGTGGGCTCTGAGGAAGATTCCAATCGTCTCTGACCTTTCCACGGTGAACTAAAGGTACCAAAGCTCTCATCTCGTCTCTAATTTCATTTTGTCACCTAGATCGAACCCTAGGGTAGTAGTTCGCCATCAACTGGAGTTGGGGAAGCTCCGTCTTCCTTTTCCCCCGTTGAAACCAGGCCGTTGGGCTAGCTCACCCAAAACCTAATCAAACCAAGCCCATTTGGGCTGTGTATAGAACTTGGGCCTTAGGCCCGATTAAACCCAAACCCTTTTATGTTTATTTTATTTTATTTTATAATCCAAACCCAAACCCTTTCGGTCTTAGGCCTTAAGGCCGTGTAGGCTTAGGCCTTCGGGCTTTTGCATCAAGCTCGTGTAAACCCTTAACCCAAGACCAAAGGCTTCGGCCCGTGAGCGTTAAACCCAACCCAAAACCCTTAGAACCTAAACCCTTTGGTTTGATGCCTTTGGGCTATTCACTTAGGGCTTTAGGCCCGATTAACCCTAAACCCTTTTCCCTTTGAGTCGGGCCTTAAGCCCAAAACCCTTTGGACCCAAACCCAAGCAACTCAGGCCCAAACCCTTTAAGCCTTGACCTAGCCCACTGGACAGGTCTGACCCGTGGACCCAGACCCAGTTGACCCAACCTAGACTGTTGACTTTGACCCGTTCCGGTCTGACCATTGACTTTGTTGACTTTTTTCTAGTTTTCGTTCGGGACCCTTCCTAGGCTAATTTCGACGTCCTGGACCTGATTTTTACGTCTTTTTTTCCAAATTTAATCGTTTGAATAGAGTTTTATTAATTGGACCCTTTATGTGCTTAGGTGAATTTATTATGGCATTTCCGGCTTCGCTAGTTTACGTGACTCTTCAGCGGTGAAGTATTTGTGAATGGACCCCTTCTGAAATGCATATTTTAATAGTAGAAATGCATATATAAAAAGCATGATTTAATGATTACGTTTTATGAGATATTATGCTTACTTATAATATTTTGGAATACAATATTTTCTATCGAACCCATGTTCTTTGTAGGATATCTGATGGATGATGATATACTACTTAGAACATGTTTTTACACACTTCTTTATAATATAGATGATGGATGCCTTTATACTATGAAGATGTTTTTGAGATATATATACATACATTTGGAAAGTCTATATTCAATGTTTTTGTGCGTATCTAATGGTCACTGTTCTACCTACGAGTGATGTTACTTATATTGCCTTCGGGCAGGCGTGTGTAGGGCACTGTTCTGTGCATATGAGAGATACTGATATTGATACCACTAGTTAGCACACTATATATGAGATATGTTTTATGGAAAGGTTTTATGGCATGCTAGGGTTTTCAGAAAACCTACTACATATTATGCTATTGATGTTTTCATAAAACTTTGAGGGTTAGCATGTTGATAATTGTTTCAATATTATATATATATATATATATATATATATATATATATATATATCAACTTGGTTCATTCATGTTTGTTTTGCACCCCCCAGGACTTAAAATCGAGGTGTACAATCTCAGCGTCAAGGAACTTCCGCATTGGCATCTTCAAGTCCTCTCAGTGTATGACTCATTCTTTTATTCATTCAATTTTATATATTTCTTTTAGTGTTCTAATTAGTTGTATGCTCTGAACACGTTCCTAATTTGCATATTAATTATATTTAAATTTATAAGTCTTATTTATTTATTTATTTGTTCTCATGCATTCTAAATGGCTTCCGTCACCTTCGGGTGTCGGCCATCACGTGGCCATCCCGATGTCTCGAGGACATCAAGATTGGAGTGTGTCATTAGTCCAACTTAGTCTATTCTAAGTCAGTTCAGCTTAGTCCTTGAAGTTAGTCCAGTCCAAGATTATCCGGTGCAACAAACGCAAATCACATGACCATATGAACACATGAATTGATTTCTGAACTGAATCTTTGGTCTTTTGAATTGAAAGTTTGTGAGAATTGATTTCTGAACTTATGAACACGTGAAGTTGTGGTCTTTTTTATAATTTCGTTAGAACTTTCATCGCTTATTGTTTTTTTTAAACCACTTGTTGTTGAGCCCAAAATAATGTATGGGTGTGAGTGAGTTATTAGGATACCTAAAATGTCAATTCATAAATTAATATTAAGGGGACATTTGCACCTAACACTTTGAACCAAAAACAAAAAAGAATGATGCACCTAACACTTTGGGACTCTTGATCAACAAACCCAAATCTTGAGTGGATCGATCAATGAATCCATTTTTTCACTCTATAAACATAGATTAAGTACAAACATTTACAAATAACTCAACAAACAGTGAATTAGTTTAACTAAATTGTATATAATAGCCTTTGAAATGGTGACAAACTTTTCAAAAAACCAAATTCAATGAGCTATGATAATGGTGTTTTATAAATATTCCAATCGAATATATATTTATATAGTTGAACGTTAAGTTAGTGTAGATCGATTTTTTGACTCTACAAACGCACATTAAGAGTGAATACTTATAAATGACTTGACATATGGACAACAGTATGTAAAACACGAGTTTTTAAAGCCTGGTTTGGTACTGAGGTAATTCTGAAAAAATGGCTATAAAAAAAGGCTGGGAGTTTTTTTATGTTTGGTAAACATTCAACTTCAGTTTTTTTCACAGTTTTGGATGAAAAAAAAGCCAAAAACACAAAGCTGCAAAACTAGCTTTTTTCACATCTGTTTTACATAAAAGTTTATCAAATATTATAATACTGCTTTTTTTTTTTTTTTCAAAAGCACTTTTACAAAAAAGTTTACTAAATACTCTACTGCTTTATTTCACAGCTGTTTATTCTCACAGCACAGCAAAAACAATTTTTTTTCCAAGCACAACAATACCAAACCAGCCCTAAATGTAATTTTTAGCAAACGAAACATAAGTTTATGAATATATATGTTTCTTATCGTAGCTGAATGCTAAATAAAAAAGTAGAAACCTACACAAGAATGATAAATCTAAAAACCTCTATCCAACCATTGATGGCTGCTTGAAGTTGAAAAGTTAGAGAAGTTTTTCAGTGTGATCGGTATACGGAATGATATATTACGTATCATTAAACAAATAGTGAGATATGTGCGTTAAAAAGTTAATAACTTAAAA